GCATCCACATGGCTTTCGTAATGTGCCCAGCACGGTAATTTGCCCAGAATTAACGCCAAAAACACTCAGATAGCTCGTGGCCTTCAGCGTAACTAAACGCCCTTACGTGAAAATTTTCCTAGTAGCGCTGGAATTGTCAAAGGCTTTTGACACTGTAGTATGTGACTCCACGCTGCTACAAGGCACTGAGCGCTCTTTCCTCTCAAAGGGGCTCAAGTGCTGGATGTCGAATTATCTGAATGTTGGGAAATCGTCGGTAATATTTTAAGACTAAACTTCAAAACTCCCATTGTGTTTAGCTTCTATATTTTCAAATAGTAGGAGCCAACAGAGCGAGTTTCCCCGATCACACTCGCAATGGCATTAATGCCTAAGCTCAGAAGTAACGGGAAATAATTGAACTAGCTCGCTTCTGCACCGCAAGGAGCCTAACCCTATCTTGTAAGAAGTCCACGGCGACCATCTTTAGTTTTTAATGTTTTTTTCCTTTTCTTCTTAATTTTGTTCCTTTTGAATTAAGCTTTACTCGATTCCATACTTTTACATTATTTACTTTTAATTTACTTTATGTTGTTCTATTTATTAATATCTTTTTCTTTTATTAATTGTTTCCTTTTTGCTTTCTTTGTTTTTTTTTTAGGTTTCATTTTTTTCTTTATTTTTTTCTTGGATTTTATTTACATTAAATTTTTAGTTTGTTTAATTTTGCCTTGTTGTATATATATGTATTTTATGATTTTGTTTTTTTTCAATAACTTTTGTTTTAATGTTTTATTTTAGTTTTTTATTTAAGCTTATTTTACTTAATTTTACTTTTTTGACTGTTATTTATTTCTAAAAATCTGTATTAAGTTTTAGTTGACTAATTTTTTATATTGCTTATTTTATTTTATTTTATTTTATTTATTTTATTTTATTTTATTTTATTTTATTTTATTTTATTTTATTTTATTTTATTTTATTTTATTTTATTTTATTTTATTTTATTTTATTTTATTTTATTTTATTTTATTTTATTTTATTTTATTTTATTTTATTTTATTTTATTTTATTTTATTTTATTTTATTTTATTTTATTTTATTTTATTTTATTTTATTTTATT